AACAAAAAGGGCGGAAGTGGTCACAAAAATCACTGTCAACAAACTGAGGGAGGGCTCAGTTCATCCCACTGGCTGAGGGTAAAACAGGCATTCCTTCTACATGTCCCTTTTAATGGGGCAACCACATCGGTCCAGCTGCAAATTTCAAACACGAATCATCGTTAAGTCCACGAAGTTCACAGGGTTTAGGACATCTGCACGTTCCCAACAAGAAACAGAGTGTCCGGCTCGAGCAGGTGTTGCCGAACACCAACGAGCGGTCCAAAGAACTCCCACAGAGATCTACCCGACACCGGAAAAGGGGCGCTGCTGACCGGGCACTTCCCGGCGCGGCAGAGGGCAGGGGGAGGGGACGGCCACCTACGTAGAAGGCGCAGTCCAGGACGGCGCCGGTGTGCTGGTACTTGAGCCGCATCGAGTTGGCCGGCACATCGTAGAGGCGCACGGACGTGTCCCAGGACGAGACCAGCAGGAACTGGGAGGTGTTGGGGCTGAACTTCACCGAGGAGATGCCGTCCTCGGGCGGCTGGTTCAGCTTGAACTCGTTAGAACCGGTCATCTGCGGAACAGACGCGCAGTCCGAGTCCCCAAGGGTCCCGGGTGGGAGGGCAGAGCCCGCTGGGCGCCCGAGGGCCCGAGGAGGGCGGCGTCTGCGCCTGCGCGGAGTCCGGGTCCGCCACGCACGGCCTCGCCCCTGGCCCGACGGGCCGCCGCCTCCGCCGCCGCACCCCCACCCCAGCTCAGGGCCGCCCGCCCCGGGCGCCCACACCCGCCCTGCCGCCTCCCCTCCCCGGGGCCCCAGACGGTCTTAAAAGCGAAGAAGGCGAAACGAGCTGCCCTGCAGACGGCTCCGCCAGCGCGGACCCGCGAGGTCCGCGGAGAGCACGCTCCTGCGCCCCACCGCCTCGTCCCGCTACCTTGAGCTTGCCTCCGAAGTAGCGTCTCAACGGCTTGCCGCCGCCTCGCAGCTTCCCTCGGAGCACTCTCCGGCCGGGCGTAGGAGGCGGAGAGGAAGCTCCAGCATAGCTCTGCCATTGGCTGCTTTAAAACGCCAACGGCTCGCTCTAAGCAGCCTATTGGCCCGTTCGGCTGCTCGGTGATGGTCAAAGCAGTCTTCCAGTTCCGGCTCAAAGGGAAACCGCGGTTTTTCCGATCACGTGGTCTCATTTTACCAGCACGCTGAGACCCCCGAACTCGTGCCGTAGGAGCAGAAACTACAACTCCCAAGTAGCATCGCGCCAAGGACGCGCTCTTATCCGCCCACGCCTGTGCGTGTCATCCTGGGTGGTGTAGTTTCCACGGGGCGGATGCCCTGTTTGTGCTCTGAACAGTAGGCGGGAAAGTAGGTCTTAAGGTCCGCCAGTGGCGCCCTCCTCCCCCGTAATCACTCAGACTTAAGAATCCCTTTTTGGTCAATACTCCTATAGAGCTAAATCATTCTCTTTTTGGCGTGTATACGTCTGTAAAATGAACCAGAAATTGAAATAGAGAGGAAATACTTGCTCTGATCAACTGCCCTATTTTGCCTTGATTCTTTCTCATTTTCCTGGCGTTTGTACTATCAACCAGGTCTCACGTTTCCCATCGTCTTAAAATTCTGCCCACCCCATAGAATCTCGTCCTTATTGTTTTACCTCTTCACCCCATCGTTATGAACTTATTGAGCATCCACTGCATGCCAGCCCTGGTGAAGGGCTCTGGGAAGATGTATTTAATCAGACTAGTCTTTGTCCTGAAGGAACTCCCAGTATCCAGAAGGATGAACAGACTAGTAAACAAATACTCTGCAATGTGTTACAGCAGATTTGTCCTGGAATCCTCAAAGGGCAATGACAAGCCTCTTCCCTTCCACCATACCCTGCTACTCCACAAGGTTTCAGGCTGTTTGCTCCCATTTTTTTGTGGAGTCCTCCAGAATACAGAGCACCAAGAAGCTTTTCAGTAATGAGAAATTATTTCATCTCAACTAAAGAAAATTAATGCCTAATCAATAGAATTCAGTAACTGAGTTACTCTTGAGCCTCAATTTTTCAATTTAATCTATATTCTATGATCTCTTTTTCACTACCTTTTTAAGAAAAAAGTTTTATTATATAATTTTGTATGAAGCAGGAGGCAATTGTTGGGGTTAAAATGTTTAACTTTTAAGGTACATTAATAAGAGAGAACTGTTGATCTTTATGCATTCACACTCTGAATGAATGCACTTCTTAAGATTTCTGACAATAAACATGTACAATGACAACCCTTCTACTTATTACATTGATATTACTGCTAAAAGATTCTTGCCCTTCTTCCTTACCAGGCCTAGTTTTTGTTTCTCTATTTCTTCTCTTTTAACAAGTTAATAGGCAAGTTGAATAATTTCATATGTAGTGTCTTACTTCCATTCTAAGTTAAGCTAAATAATTTTATCTCCTGACTTATTTGGTTCCCTCTCCCAGTTGTTTAATTCTATTAGTGTTTCGAGATTCTGAGCATAAATTATCCACTAACAAAATCTAAGTGTATTTCATTATCCAGTGTATGATTCAGGTCCCTCTGGGCATGCAGTTGCAGCCCGACTCAATTTGAGTTTTAAGAAACGTCAATCTTTTAAATCCAGTTTAGATCCTGAAAGGAGACTGATGATTTGGCTTATTATTCAAATGAATTGATAGGCTTGAGATAGGAAATCTGGCAACAATGGAGTCTTGAACATATTAAATCCAAATGCAAAGTTCTATGTGTACATGTGTGTTAGAGTTAACTGTGAAATTCCTAGAACGTAATTACACAGTTAGATCATCTATGACGGCTAAATCCTGGATTAGAAAATGGGTGAAATATACATTATATAAGATAAACTGTAAAAGGGTCATTCCCTAAAATCGCCAAGGCAAACTTTCTCCTTAAATGCCTCCGGTGACTAGGGGAAACCACTTCCTATTAAAGAAGCAAGCCTAAGGAAAATGTTATTAAAACCCATCAATATTATTAAAACCATCTTCAAACTGTAACTAACTTACTGAAATGCAAACAAAATGCTATGGATGGAATATCCCTATACAAGAAATTCCTTGGATGTCATTTGGTTGTTTCTGCATGGAATATTCAAATAGCAACGGTTAGAGGAAAACAATTTAAAGAGGATTATCTGGAGCAAGAGAACTTCAGTGAAATAAATATGTGTACACAAAAAGTCAGAAAATGGATCCTCCGTGAAACCTGTTTTCTTTCTCTGACCACCCAAAATTTAGAATGGGTTCTCGGTATGTTTCAGGGCCCAGGAAATATGCATTGACCTGAACTCAGTTGAAATGCAGTAAATGCAATTGAACCAACCTAGTATTGGCAGATTCATCCTTGGGTAATATTCTTCCTGACTTCACCTTGAAATAGTTGTGATTTCTATGAAAATGTGAAAAGTAAAAAAGGTCAATGTAACAGCAGATCTTTTTGGTCAGATAGTTTACACAGAATACTGTGGGTCACATAAACATTTACAGATATTCTGTGTATTTTCACAAAATGCAGATAATTTCTATGTTTCTTGGCTCTAAAAGACAAGTTTCTCACCGAAATGTTTCCCTTCTAGAGGGTGAGATGGAGCTTGGAGCTGTGAACTCCCAGCTCTTTAGTACCAGCTTAAGATGGAGCTGGCTGGAGGCAGGAGCTCGCCCTACTTATTGCTGAACCAAGCTAATGCTTTGCTTTCCGACGCTTTATAAGGAACAGGTGGCTGCAATTTAACAGGAGAGAGAGGGTTTGCTATTTGCACCTCTCTGGCGGCTATTCTTCCGGCGGCTATTCTCTCCAGGCAGCATCTTCCCAGTCTCAACGTGGTGGCAGGTGTCTGGACACGGAAGCCCGTGGGCGCCTCTTATTCGCATCACTTTTCAATTCAGGAACAGCAGCATGCTGGCTGGTGACCCAGCCATTTAGCCACGCACTGTGCAAACTATTAACAACAAAAGAGTGTGGGAAGAGCATTTGTCTCCTGCGCCTTCTTTCGGGCCTCGGAGCCCTCCTTGGCCGAAAAGCGGCCTTTCCGCATTCAGTTCCCGCTCCGCGCGGGTCACAATCTGTTCACGGACCCGGGAACTGTGCGTGACTGCAAGCTGGTGGCGCTGGGCTAAGGGCGACAAGCAGACCCTTCACCAGATTAACGCTGCCCGCTGCCCTGAAGCAGGGCGTTGCGCGCCCTGCTTCAGCCAAGTCCAAGAAGATCACGGTGCAGGATGCTCCTCGCGCCCTGGCCTGGCCCAATCCCGGAAGGCTACTACTTCAGCAGCAAGACCGGTTCGCGGCCTTTGTCTTTCTCCCCGCGGGCTCTGGAGCTGGATTCCATCCGAAGTGAGCCCCAGCCCGCACGGGGATTCTGCGCAATTGGATGGGGGTGGGAGGGAATGTGTAGTTCCAGCCACGTGCGGCCTGGGCAGTGGCTATACCCAGACCTTTAACCCCCGATCCCGGCCCCACCCTCCACACGGTGCGAGTCCGATCTTTGCAGACGCCTGTAAACTCTACCACGGAAAATGGAGGAAACCTTCCGCGCATTGTCGTGCTGGGCAATTAACCCCTCCAAAGTTAGCAACGATGTTTAAAATGTTTTATTTTTTTTCTCCGCTTTAAAAATATTTACAGATCGGAACTCTCCCCATTTCGCCCCTACCCATCCTCGGGATGAAGGAAATGAAAAGAGATTATTAGATCATTGTCCACAGCCCCTGAGGGCCTGGCTTGGCCGAGCGTGTGTGCATGTACATATGTACAGGTGTATACATGGGTGGGGGGAGAATATACCTGGTTTCGTTGGTATTTTTCTGATTTTTTTCTACCAATCAAAGCCAATCTGGCCAAAACTCCTTTTCCCATCACCACCCGAGAATGTCCCTCTCCAAAGTGGTTTTCTAAGCGTATTGGTTTCATTTGGGTAGAAAGCAGGCAATCTGGTTTGAGGAATACCGATAAATACCCGAAACAAAACAAAAAGTAGGGCGGAGGCCATAAATAAGAGATAATGAATACACATGGTGTATTTCTTAATATTTCTGGAATCACGTCGCTTTACTCCGGAGGTCTGTGAAGGGTGCAGCCCGCGCCGGGCTCCGGGGCAGTCGAAGAGGTCCCGGGCGAGCCGGAGAGTGGGCGCGCGCGGGCAGGTGGGTCAGTAGTCGAGCTTGTTGTAGAGGTTGTAGAGCGGTAAGGCCGAGAGGTTGCTGCTGGGGTAATAGAGCGGCGCGGGGAAGGCGAGAGAGCGTGGCACCGGCACGCGCAGCAGCGAGCTGTCCCGGAACACCAGCGGCATGCCCACCAGAGTCTGCGCGGACGCGTGCGCCATGTTGGCCGCCTCCAGCTCGGCCGAGAGCTGCCGCTTCCACTTGTTGCGGCGGTTCTGGAACCAAGTCTTGACCTGGGTTTCGGTGAGCTGCAAGCTGGAGGCGAGACACGCACGCTCCGAGCTGCTCAGGTAGCGCTTCATATCGAAGGTGGACTCGAGCTGGTACACCTGGCTGCGCGAGAAGACGGTGCGCGTCTTCTTCTTGGCCGCGCCCGCCTGCCGCTCGGCGCCGCCGTCCCGCGGCCGCTCCGGTCCCGGGGAGGGAGAGCCCGCCGGCAAGAGCCTCTCTTTCTCTTCTTTAAAGTCCGGATGCGAAGGAGAGAGAAAAGGCGAACGCTCGGAGCTCGCCGGCCCTGCGCCTCCGCTGCCCTTAGGAGTACCTGAGAAATAAGAACAGACAGGAAGGCCTTGGAGTTGAAGAGCTTTGGAGATCCACAACTCTTCCCAGGGCTAGAGTGTTGGCAGAAGTCTGCAATCTTGGTCCCATGTTACCAATTCCCTCCTCTTCTCCCTCTAACAAGCACCCCCAAACCCAGCACCTCCACCTATTAAAGCTGCAGAAGAAGGACCCAGCTATCGGAGTCTGGGAGTCTGGGGTCTCTGTGCTCCCACCTTTATGAAAGGATAAGTGGCAGCAGGGAGAGGAGGCCTGGAAGGGGAACGTTACCATTATAAAGGTGAGTTTGTCTTGTTATAACTGAGCTGGAAGACTTCCTCCAGCTAAATAGGTCAGCCTCATTTCACAGGCCATTTGTTTAGAAATCACGCTAAGGACCAGCTCGGGATCTCCTTCCTCAAATGTAAAGAGGAACCGTCTCTGAAACGCACCATTGTCAATCATCTTAGAGTGCTAATCATTCCGAGGAGGAGACGGAGACACAGACAGAAGAGGAGGGGGGGGTGAGCAGAGCAGAGAATGCAGTAGAGACAGAACATATAGACCCGACTTGCAGACCACCTGTCTGGAAAGAAAGTATCCTGTGTGCAACGGGATTGAGCACACAGCCCTGTGTACAACCAGCCAGGTGCCCAGACCGCTGTGGTCCACATTCTCTCCAACCCGACCTTCCCCCAAGAAGCCCAAGCCGCGCGGTGGGTGTGCTGTCCTTCTCCTCCCGAGCTTTCCCGGGCCGAGAAGCCACCGCCGCGCTGCTGTGCCCTCCCCTCGGCCCCAGACCCCCAGCGGCCAAGATCTGACCCGAGGGGGAGTCAAGACCGGGCACGCAGCCTCGCTCCCCTAGCGCTCACTCGCTGCCAGACTGCAGAGTGCGATCCTTACCCAGGCAAGGAAAAGGGATGTGGGGGTGGTGCTTGGGGCCTGGCTCCTTGGGGCCGTGCGGGTCTGGGCAGAAGCAAGCGGGCGCCTTCCAGCCGTCGTCCGGCTCCTCCTCCTCCGAGGACACCGACAGGCTGCGCTTCCTGGCTGGCCAGCCGGCGGGCTCCCGCGGTGCTTCGGAGGGGCCCCCGCCCAGGATGGACTGGATGGTGAAGCTGGAGACGCCACCGGCAGCTGGACACCCCTTGCCCACATCTTCCTTGCTGCCCATCCTGGGTTCATAAGAAATCGGAGGAAACCAAGAACTCCCTTTAGAGACGATCTGGGCGGAAGGTGGTGCAGACAGGCAGGCAGGGGGGAGGGGCGGAGAGGGGAGCTAGGGGGAGGGGGCGGGGAGGTTTGGTGGGGTGTCCCTTCCGCGCAGGGGACACGCGGGTACCGGACGGCTGCGCGGAGGTCCCTGCCCGCCCGGCTCTAGGTACGCCCGCCCAGACCCAGCGCAAATGCCCCTTCCTCGCCCACCAGCTAGCGGGGTCTCCGGCTGCGCGGAGGCGGCGCGGCCTCATTTGCATAGAGGTTACCCGAACGCGGCCAATCGCAGCGCCGCAGAGCTGCCCCGGAAATTTTCAAAAAGCTCCGGCCCCGCACTCAGTGCGGGAGAGCCCCTCGAGTACGGCAAGAACCCAGCCAGCATCGAATCTGTCCAGCCAGGGGCGTCTAAGGGCCGAAAGCCGCGTAAATTCCAGCCTAGGTCCTGGTATCTACTTGGGGTCCCTGCCTCTTCAGGGACGGGGACAGCGCGGGGCTCCGAGCTGGAATGGCCTGCCACTGCCGCAGGCAACAGATCTTCGCGCCTCCGAGGGCTTCCGAGAGGCTGCCACCACACTCCCCAGTCCTCCACTCCTTCCAACCCCAGAGGGACTGGCAGAGCTGTCACTTGGCGACCCTCGTGGGGGTGGAGAGGGTTAAGTGCTTGGGTCTGATTGACGCTGTTCGCTTGAGCGTAGCAGGGAGTCCCAGGATCAGACTTCTGCCCTTCCTCGCCTGCAATCCCATCCCTACCCGGGCCAACCGGGCTAGATGATTTGGGGGGCGGGAGATGGAGAAGCCCTAGATCGCGAGTCAAGAGATGCCGGTTCAAGTCCCAGCAACACCGATTACATCCAGCGAGCTGGTTTGAACAAGTCTGGTCTCAGTCAAAGCGTCTCTGACCTCAGGTGAAATGAACTCATTAGTATCTCTTCCTTCTTCTGTTTTGAAGATCACCCAGGTATGGATGGAATAGCGCCAGAAAGCCTACAGTAGGAGCGCTACTAGCACATAGTAGTTACTTCCTAAACCTTTACTGAACAACGGCCGACCCGCCTTCCCATGCCAGAGATGAATCTCTTTTTCGTTGACTATTGGAGGTCTTGTAATTGCTAGAGAAATAGAAACACTTTTTCCTGGGAAAGGAACGGAAGGAGGTAGTTATGATGACACAGTTTTGGACTTTTGCAGGGTCCACTCAACTAGGCTGGGCGAGATACTTATAACTTTCGGAGGCTCCGTTTCCTAAAATCGAGGGAAGAAATCGCCTACTTCGCAGAGGATGTGATGAGATTCAGATGTCCAACACCAAAGCTGGCACGTGGTGGTAAACAAACCAGGGTTCCCTGTTCCCTCCCTCCTTCTCACAGTCCCCTTTGGAGTTATGGCTGTTGCTCCATAGTTCCTAGAACAGCTATTATCTGATCTATAATCACTCGGGCACCGGCAAAAAGGCTTGGGGCCACAGTCCTCTACACTAGATTTTTTGTTTGTTTGTTTTTTAACCGAAATTGGGGTAAGGCAAGGCCCAAGCGCCCAGGCTAACCCTAGGCTCAGGCTGCAGCTTCCAACTGCTCAGCCAAGAGGTTGGAGCTGTCTCTAAGGTACACCCCAAAACAGCCAGGAGTGAGAAGATACTGTGGAATCGGTCCCCACGAATGTCCTGACGCCACACCATGACGATGCAGTTCCTTCCTCTCCCTCACTGCTCCCGGGCTGAGTAAAGCGCTTATAATATCATTAGCCGCGGTGAGTAACCACTGCGGCCCTGCCAGTGGCAGAACTCCCTACTTAACTCCTCGAAGGGCTCGTTAATGGGCTAATTGATTAGGAGTCAGCAGCGCAGCCGGGACAGGGGGAGGCGGGGAGGAGGGGGCCAGGGTCTGTGCGCCGCGGCCCGGGAGGCTGGCGAGGGGCAGGTGCCGGCCTCCGTCACCGCATTAACCTCTTCAGGGCTCGGCGGCGGGGTCGAGACACATTACAAATGGTCAGCTTTAATCATGGTGTCAGCTCATTAACCCGGAAGGACCCAATGCTGAAATACAATTTGTGAGTCCTCCTATACGCCACCACGGCGCAGGCTCCGGGGTCTTCTCACAGCCCCTCCGGCGCGCTCCCGCTCGTTTGTGGGGTAGAGGGGAAATTGAAGGAAAGAAATGTCCGACTCTCGCTAATCCCCTGCCTCTCACTCGCACCCTGAGCCAAGGCAATCCCTGGAAGGAATTGGCCAGTCCACTTGGGCAGCAGAGCCAGCTACTCCGCTGGGGAAGAAAGCTCAGGGTTGGGGGAGATGGTTTGAACGTTTCTGCGCTAGCTAGTAGTTGGTGCCAGGAACATGCTGGGAGCGCCTGACATTGTTCACTTTAATCCTCAGAGCAAACGTGATGCACATCCCCCCCACACACACACACACATGGTACAGAGGAGGAAACTGAGGCTCAGAAGAGAAAGTGAATAGGTCAAGCAGAGAAAGCAAGCTCGAAGCTCAAAGTTGTTCCGCTTCAGATGCCACGCCCCCTGGGAGAGAAGAGCGGGCATTGACAGTGAGCTTGTAGAAAGGCAAGACCGAGGACACTAGCAGGGCTGGTTTATGCATGGGGTCCAGAGCCCAAGGAGTTGACATCTTTCAGGGAAGGGAGGCAGCATCCTGGCCTCTTAGGTAGGCTTCAGATAAGCAGCTCTGAGACCTGCAAGAAAATGGAAAGCCCACTAGGGTAGCCGGGCTGGAGGACTCAAACTGGAAAACCAGGAGGTCTTGTGACCCCATTTCCCCGCTCTGGGTTGGTTTGGGGGAGTCAACAGGAGCCATCTGGGGTAGTATTCCTCCAGCCCTGTCTCCTGTTCGCATTGAGGGTCTGGTCCTCACAGGGGCATTTTCTTCGCCCCCACACCCGGCACGTTTTAAGCCTGGAGCACAAATGCTTACTCACACGCATTCATTCAACAAACGTTCCGTCCCCGCTCCCCACCTCCCAGCCAGGAAAATGGTGGTAGGCCCAAAGCGGAGCCAGTGGAGACAGAGCAGACTTTCCACTCTGCGGCCCCATGGGCTGCAGCTCTCCTGTGCTCTCCTCGATTCCAGTGGTCCTGGAGCACCAACAGCAGTCACAATGCAGGAGTCCAAAGGGTGAAGACACTATTTTCGTAGCCACCCCTTTCGGAGATCTCATCACCGAGAGCTCAGAGGCCCGTAGACGCCCTCTCCTGGGCCCAGCGCAGCTGCAAAACCCACTCCCAGGAACTCAGATGTACCAACCACCACCCATTGACACCGGGTCTCTCTATCCCCAAGTATTGCAATCCTTCAGCTCAGTACCACTCCCACACCCTGCCCTACCCTCCTAGTCTCGGGGGTAGCTCCGCCCCTTCCTACTGCATGGTTTAGGAGCCGACCCCCTGGAGGATTGCCTTCCGAGTCTCTGGGATCGCCCCCCCCCCTCACACCCTCCTAGGAATAAGGAATAACTGGGTTCCAAGGAATGATAAACTTTCCAAGACTGAAAGAACGCTTAAAGTTTAGGTCCCGAGATTATGCCACTGCTCAATATTAAAGCGGCCCAGAGCAAACTTGCCGAGGAGCCTAATAAAAATTGATCCTCTCTGCTCTGCGGCGGTCGGGAAATAGGCTGCTGAGCCGGGTAATAGTGGAAGAAGGCTCCCTCTGAAATGACAGATGAAGTCATAAACAAGTTTGATCTTGGAATCAAGCTTCGATAAATATTAAACACAGCCTCCCCCCCGCCTTTACGCGAGTGGATTATGATATATGGCGCGTCCAAACTTTAAAATAAGGAAATACCAGAGAAAATGATCTCAATAAATTTTCTAAGTATAAACGTTGATTATGTTTCGATTTTCATTCAAGGGCCTCTGCTGTTCGTTCTTTGGTGCAAATGACATCTCGCAATAGGCTTTTGGGGAAAAGGGCTCCCTATTTGAAAAAGAGAGCCCCAGAGGTGTACAATTTATGTAATCTGCGGCTGGAAAATGAATTGTGTAATTTATTGGAAAACAGAAAGTCATGAAGATTGGATCAGCATAGCCGAGTCCTGACACCCCCCCTCCCACATCCATCAAGTTCCAATTAACAGCCTAACCAGAGAGCTTTAATGGGTTTCCAATCTAGTGGCCTGATAGACTCATCAATTCCTCTGGGAGAAATTAAGAAAATCGACCGCCCCTTGGCGACGCAGTGTCATTCCTTTCTGCAACTATATGTCAAATTAAAAACACAATTAAAATTTAAACTGTTTCAATCAAAGGGTGCCCTGCAACCTATGTTTCACTTAATAGAACTTTGATGAAAATCTGATGCGTGTACTCCATCACCAAGGGGGGCGAGGGCAGTGAAGGAGCTCACCAGAGATGGAGATTCTTTATATTTCTTTAAGACATTATCGCTGGGGTGAGACACACCAGGTGACTCCACCTCGCGGCTCCTGCCTGGGTGATGGGCGCAACACAGCTCTCTCCTTCACTCTCTCCTTCGCTCTGGCTCTACACCTCTCCCCCATCTCCTTTTCCTCTCCATTCATCGCAACCGGAAGGGATCTTTTTGGAATACCTGCAACCCAGACTTTGGACAATTTCCCCCGTGAGAGGCAACTCCTGGAGCAGCCTGAAGCAGCAGCCAAGGAAAAGGATCTGGGCGAGTACTACCAGTATGCACCTCCCCGCAACTCTCCAAGGAGGGAGGCTGCGGCTTCCAGCTATCCCTTGCCGGGGTCTCTGAAAATGCCCAGACGCTCTTAAGATACACTGTGGAGTCTGGGAGTTGGAAGTGTGTGGGAGGATTCCCAAGCGGGGAGGGGGATGCCGGGGGAGGGGGTGTGTGTTAGTTCCACTGAGAATTAAGGTTTTTTGCCGCCTCAAACGCCGCTGCCCACCTCATCCCCCCTTCAAAGTACTTCCGCAGGAGAAACAAGCTGGGGGAAAAGTGCATCCCCAATCTTAACCTAGGATCCCTGTCGGAGGTACCAGCCAGTGCTCCAAAGTATACTCAGCACAGTTATTTTCACAGATCTTTCCTCTCTTCCACTACCACCCCTCCTTGTTTGCAGATCAAAAGGTCAACGCCATCCTCTCTGCACACGGAAACCGCAGGGACCTGCACACACACAGGCGTTCACTTTTCCAGAAGCATACACCCAAGAGTTGGGGATGGTTTATGCCCTAAAGTCAGAAGGACCTGCACAAGCCCTAGAGGCGGGCGGCCAGTGGGCGGGAAGCTGAGAGGAGGAGCCTCCAGGATAGCTCCTGCCGGGTCAGGTGTACTCGCCAGTGCCCGCCTTGCGCACTGAGCCTGCCTGGCCGCTGGAGGGATTGCTCCGGGAGTCGTGGTTCTCGAGCCTTGGCCCCGTCTCGCGCGGACCAGTGGGGCGGGGCGTAGGGGGGTCTTCTAGATACTCTGTGGAGTCTAAGTTTGGACTATTAAGGGAGAAAGGCCCCCAGCTGGGTCACTGATCATGGACGACCTGCAGAGGCAGGACGGCTCCGCCCGGCTGGGGTGGGGGTGAGGGGGCGGGCACAGAAGCTGTCCTGGACAGCCAAGATGTCCGGTCTATACAGGCGAAAGGGGTGAAAGCTGGACCAATGGACCTGGCCCAGGAAAACAACATTGCTAGGCCTCAGCCAAGCGCCTGAAGGCTGCCGGCTTAGCAGCCCTAGGGGACCCCGCGGTTGAGACCTCCGCCCCCATCTCGTTTGTTCAGCGTGGAGCCCTAGAAAGGAAAGCAAATCCCACCGACCTTTTTGCCTTCTCCTATTTCTCCCAGGTCCACTTCCGGACTCAGACGAGGAGACCAGTGCGCTTTGGGGTTCTCCGGTGTGGCCTCTGGCTCTGACCTGCCTGGAACCGACGGGGCGTCCTGCTCAGAATGAGTGCCAGTGGCAGGGGGGCAGTTTATATCTGTCTTGCCGTTGTTTGATGTACACACACCCGCACTATTTACTACCAAATAAAAGAAATACATCTGTGTTGCCAACAGAAACAGTTCAGGCGCTGGCTCTGCGGGTCTCCCAGGGCCTAGAGACGCTGCTCAAAGCCACAGAGAACCGAGGAGCCCAACACCGTGGGGACCTCGGTTCTGAGTGAGGTCCTGGACCATAGTAGCAGAAAATCCATGGTGGGTAGTTGCCAGCTCCACTAGTTGACCAGATGGCTTATGAGGAGGCTGCACAAACATTCCCAGGGGTTTTCAGGAGCCACTAGGACCCCCGCCCATCCTTTCCCAGGATTCTTCCCAGTTTGCCTCAGCCTGATGCCATTGGAGAAAACCAGCTGCCAGGGTCACCTCAAACAGAGTGTCCAACTATGTGCCTTGGTCACAGAGAAGATGCTAAACTAACATGGTGTGTGTGCTAGAAGCCTACAGATATGTTGTCTGTTAGGAAGTATATAAAGTGTGTGTGTGTGTGTGTGTGTGTGTGTGTGTGTAGCATTTATGTCAAGTGTGAGAGCATCCTGTGTTGTTTACATGGGTATCTCTTTGGGCCATATAGAAAGGATTTAGAGGCAAAATGAAGATTGCAGAGACTTGAAAATTAGTTGAGGTGCAGATCAGGAAGAATCAGAAATTAGGGTAGGCAGATTGGGTTCCGAAATCTGGAGAAGTCAAAGGGTAAAGTCAGGGTGTCTGTTCAGTGTCCTAGACATGCACTGCCCTGACTTCCCCTATGGAATGCGCAGGAAGAATCTCAGAAGGCACTGTCACTCTGCCCCAAACTCCAACCCCTTTTAGTAGTTCCTTTGCAGAAGTTTGGGCTGGGAGGCTCTCTGGGTAGGGGGAATAAGATGACACCAGTCAGCTCCTCAGATGTGACAGTCCCATCAAGTGGTTTCTTGGCTTCTCCTGATAGGAAAGCCTCAGAACAACCTGCAGTTGAGGTTAGGATGCTTCTTACTCAGAGTGACTTCTATGTTCCACATCCCTGCACCCTGGCTCAATGTGTCTTGCACTGGGAGAAATACTAGAACTGCAGCCAGGTCAGCCAGAGAAGGAGGTTTCCTACCTGGGTCCACTTCTAGGCTCACACAGCTGCCAGTACCCAGGCCACATTGGCATCACTTTCCTCCCCCAGGGAGGCACCATATTTCTAGGGAGGAAAGCTCTGGCTAGGGCAGCAGAGCTCCCCAACAGGAGGGAAAGGGAGGCTTCTGGGAGCAGGACAAAGGATAAACTGTGCTTGTGGAGAACCAGTTATTTCTTGACTTTGTAAAGACCGGGTCAGTCAAGAACCGTTTTCTAGAATCCAAACAAATAAAGAAGTATTTTCTTGGCGTTTGATAACATCGTGTTCTGGCTGTAAAGTCAAAGGACGTGTTTGCTATTGCAACATCATTTTTAATGAGCTGTTACTGGCCTGTCCGGCAGTTAGTATTGCCAACAGTAAAAGCCATCAGTATGTTTGCAGGTAACACAAGGAACGACATATTTTGACCCCGAATTTCTGTTTATTTTTCATTTACGACACATGCCCTCGTTTTTATTCCAAACCAGAGGGAAATAAAGGGAAATCTATCTTCACTGGGGTCCGGGCTAAAATTTTGCCATAAATACGCATGCCGGTTTATTTGGGAGCAGTTTTCCATCAACGGAAAACGATACTCCACGTTTCAGCCACAGTAGACTCAATTGTGACGATTGAGTTTGAGGAGCTTGGAACGCCCTGGAAGGAGGCAGCGCAGGCAGGCGCTCCCCAGCGGTGGTGTCCTGCCGCGTGCTCTCAGAAATATTCTTAGCTTCGGGTTCCTCATCTCCCCGCTTCGGCTCCCCAGCTTCAAACGTGCGCTGCCAGGAGCATGCAGTGACACCCTCAGCTTGAAGACAGGCTACCACGCTGGTTGGCGAGGACCTCCCAAGCACCTGGCTTCCCCTCGGCCGACCAGCTCTTCCAGGCGGCAGCAGCGCCTTCCCTCTCCAGCTGCCCACCAGCGACGTAGTGGGCAGGCGCCCAGCAGCCCGCGGGAGCGGCTAGCTTGGCGCCGGCCAGGACAGGGGACACGGAAAGGCTGTCCTCGATGCTTTGGGCGTCGGTGGAGAGAGAAAGATTGCCCGGGAGGGGACACGGTTCTCTCCATTGCGGCTATCATAGCTAGGTGGCTTCGGGTCCCTGGCACTTGGCATATGAGGACAGCGCCCAATTCCAAGCAGCCACAGCGGCGGCAGTTCTCCCAAGCCTTGCTGAAGCTCCCTCCCCTAGAAGTGGGAGCTGCCATGCCAAGAGTTGGTGGGCTTCCCCAGAGGGCTTGCCGAGGCCCAGGTCTCCCAGGTGGTTTTGGCAATTGGCCTCAGGCCCCGAAGCTAAATTCTCAATTCACCCCCTCATTCCCCCCAACACCCCCGAAACAACCAGAGCCACTACACTCCTAGCCAGACATCCTAAGGACCCTCTGCCCAGAAAGTCGCGACTCTTGAAGGAACAGTGGTTTGGGAACAAAACGCTAGGCTGTAGCTCTGCGTTTAAAAATACCGTCTTTAAGCTGGAAGCTGTCGCTTTGCTCAATTTCGCAAGCTAGATAAACCTAGGTCTTTTCCCTTTCGCGCCCCATTCTTCCCTACTCCCAAGGCACTTCAAGCCGCGGAAGATACTGGGGAGAGAGCGCCCCTGGTCGCGAACAAAGCCGCCTCTGTCTCCGCCGCCTGCTGGATTATAGGGGTGTGCCTCCAGGTCGGACTTAGTTCAGAGGCAGCCAGAGGGAGACAGAAAAGAGACACCTGCTCTGGGAAAAATCATCCAAAGTTACACACTCTGGCAACATGAAAACTTCGTTCTTTTCTTTTTAATTAATTCAGTTTCACGACAACATTAAGTGTAACAATATTTTGTGGGTTTTTTTCATTTTCTTAAAAAGGGTCTGAACCCAGGAAAAGAGGGGGATGAAGGGAAACAAACTACTGCAGAACAACAGGTGTAGCCGACAGAAAGAAAACAAGATTGGATGGCAGAGCAAGGAGCCCTGCGGATTTTGAGGGTGAATTTTACAAGAAATCTGTACATTTATCAAATAAGTTAAAATTCTCCTAAATTGATTGTCCTTCACTTAAAGCGCTCCAGTATGCCTAACTTACTCCTTTGAACATTGCTACCTATCCTTGTTTTCTTCCTTTCCTCTTCCCCTCTGCTTAATTTTCTCTTTCTAGATGAATGACTGCAATTATACTGCAAAAAGATCTGCTTCCCTCTTAGAGGAAGGAGCAGGGCTCTCAGGAAATTTTGTATAGTATTGCACAGGTCAAAGTACAATAGTTACTGCAGAACAAAAAGGTAGGAGGAGAGGATAAAAGATAAGTTTTTTTTAAAAAAAACATCAAAACCATTCTCTCAAAATAGGGAATAAAGTAATAATAGTAATATCAATAATTTACTGACAAGTGAAATTCCCCCAAATAAACGCTACTAATAAATAAGACTATTCAAACCATGCCAGATGTGGAGCTATTTCAATTTTCAGAGTTCTGACTTTTGGCTGTTTTGTTTTTTTTCTCCTTAAACACTTCAGTAGAGGATTCTTGGTCACAAAGGGAGATAGATGAAGATATTCATTGCCACAGACCTCTCAAGGCGAGAAAAGCTAGGAGTAGGGGTTCCCACGAGAGGCTGCTCAGACTCTGAAAACGCAAGAAGTGACTGACTGGAGGAAGAACCACACCCAGAACTCCAGAAATAAAAGCACTACCATGAATTCTTTCTCTTTCTGGACTCTGAAAATCGCTCAAAGGAAAATGAATGAACTAGAGGGATTAGGGTTTGGGGCTTAATTTCCTTCTATAAAAATAAAACCCCAAAGTCACTGCTCAATGCAAAGTTAGGGGAAGGGCTGCACCTTCTACAAAAGCTTTTAGTGGGAATGTTTGACCTGGGAATTTTGTCTTTTTCCTAATTAGTAACCACAACCAAAAGGAGGAGGAGAAGCGCCTCAAATCCATTAGGGATGAATTGCACGAAAATACATTGCAAATACTTACAAAACTCTACCGATTGGGGGAGGGGAGGCCAGGCAGCGCGCCGAAGCCCCGTTCCCAAGGCCGCCGGACGTCTCGCCGCCCTCGGCCCGGCCCAGTCTCCTCTGGGGTCTGGGAAGGTGGCCGGGCACTCCCTTCCCCTCCCCTCTCGGGCCTCAGACCGGCCGTAGCAGTGGCACGGATGAAACCACCGGGTGCGAGTAGTAGACCGGGTGCGGGAAGGTGAGCAGCGGCTGGCTGACCGGCACTGGGGCCCCTGCGGCCGCAGCCGCTGCGCCCTCGGCCGCCGAGTTCTCGTGGTAGAGAATTGGCACGCGCACTATGCGCTGCGCTGCCGCGTGGCTCAAGTTGGCGGCCTCCAGCTCCGCGGCCAGCTGCCGCTTCCACTTGTTGCGGCGATTCTGGAACCAGATCTTGACCTGCGTCTCAGTGAGGTGCAGCGACGCGGCCAGGCCGGCGCGCTCGGAGCTGCTTAGGTACCGCTTCATGTCGAAGGTGGACTCGAGCTGGAAGACCTGGCTGCGCGAGAAGACGGTGCGCGTCTTCTTCTTGCGACACGCGGGTTTCTTCTCGGGACTCTCGGCGCCCTTCTTCCAGTCCTCAGCGCCCGGCGTCGCCGCCGCCGCCCCCACGTTCGCCCCGGCCGCGCCCGGAGCCGCCTCGCCCTCCTTCTTGCCTTCCTCGGAGTCGCTCTCCTCCAGAATGATCTCGTCCGGGCTCTTGGAGTCCAGCTCCTTGTGGTCGGGGTCAGCCTTGAGCAGAGGCTCGGGGGAGTCGCGGTCCGTGCCCGAGGCTGGGGAGGAGTCTCGCAGGAGAGCTTTTTCCGAAGCTGGGGAGACAGACAGACGAACGCACACACACACACACACACACACGCACACGGACACAGCCATGAGCTAGGCCCGGCTCTAGGGGCCAGCAGGATCAACCCGCGCCGGCCTCCAGGTTCCGGGCCTTCCTTGAGGCCTAATCGTCCCCGTGGGCCTTCTCCTTCCCGTTTGGGCTGGAGTAGGGAAGCCGTGTCCTGGGATCCCCCTCCTCCCGAAGATAGGAGAGCAGATAGCAGCAGCAGGGCCGCCCCTTTGCATTCCCGGGGCTCCCTTGCCAGGGGCCCTCGGAAAGATTCACCATCCGCTTGTGTCCTCCCGAGACACCCCCTCTTTCCAGGCGGTATTTCCAGCCCTGGCCATCTGAAGCCACTCCAGTCAAGCCGGAGGCCACTTTTCCAGGGAAGCGCCGCGCCCCCGGCTCCAACTCCACCTCTTTTCTCACCAAGTGGGATTGAATTCCCGGACAGCGCAACCAAGCGCTCTGGCTGGAGATGCAGGCCAGGGGCGGGAGGAAGTTAGCCAAACACCGGGTTTGCGGGTTGGGGGATCCAGAACTGCGGTGATAAGCAGCTCCAAGCGGGGATGGGACAGGCGCGGGGAGGGAGGAAGAAGAACGAAAATTCAAAGAGGTCGGTACCTTCAGGTCGCGGGAGGTGGCCGCCGGCGGGGGTCAGGGTGTAGGGGTACCACCAGGCCGGGGAGCGCTCCAGGTAGTGCGTAGGCAGGGCAAACCTCTGCGCTGGGATCTCAAAGCGGGGGAAAGCCAGGTCGCCCACCTGCGAGAGCGCGAAGCCCGCGGCACCCTCCAGGGCCCCCTTGGCTGCGGCGGCTGCGGCGGCTGCAGCGGCGGCGGCGGCCGAGGCCGGTGCGAAGAGCGTCCGTGGGGGCGGCTGCGGCTTAGGGGGTGGCCGGTGGTGGTCTCCGTTGAGCAGGTTCTTGATGGAGAACGGGGACTCCTTGGGCGCAGGAGGCGGGGGCGGCGGAGGCGGGGGCTGCGCGCTGGCAGTGCCGGAGGCATCCGGCCCGGGCTCCGGCATGGTCCCCTCTCCTCCGGGTCCTCGGGAGGGAGGGAGCGGGACAGGCGGGCGGCCGAGCGAGCAGGCAAGCGGCCGGAAATCAGACCATAAACGGAACTCAACTACGGGGCGCAAAGTCGGGGGCCGCCCCGGGCGCAAATCGAGCCGCGGGAGGGCGGGGTGAGGACCGGGCCGGGGCGGGCTCGCATGGGGGAGGGGTCCTGAGGGGCGGGGAGCTGCCCTGCCGCGGCACCGAGGGAGCGAGGCGGCTCAGCGGCGGCTGCAGCTCCCGGGGAGGAGGCAGCAAGAACAGTCCCCGGCTTGGGGCTGCGTCAATCCGGCGCCGGATGCTAATGATGAAATCAAAATGTCATCCAAGTTAAATGCGGGGAGTATACGGCGATTGGGCGCGTACAATGGCAAATGGGATTAGGCAGACGAAGGCGCAGCCGAACCCCGGCCCCGCAGCCGCCTCCGCCACCGCCCCCTCCTCGCCTTCCCTCGGATTTTGGCGCTTTGGCTTCGGGCTATAAGAGCCCGCCTGTTATTGGCTTTATATAGTCCAATTAGGCAGCAAATGAGGACAAACCTATTAGCACAAAAGGATATTGGCTCCCGCTAAAGAGGCACTAGGAGCGCTCCCAGGAGCGCAGGAGGAGCGAGGGACCCAGAGCCCGCGGCGCCCCCGGCCGGCCGGAGCGCACTGACAGGGGCTAGTTAGGAGCCCGAGCCTCCCTCTCCCCCCTGCAGCTCCGGACCCGCTTCTCGCCTCCGGGCCTGCGGGAGGGGGAGGGGCGGGCCAGGCCCTCGCGGGTCACTTCGGGGTTATAAACGCTGGCAGCTGCCGCTTCCCCGCCCCCAGGGGCTTGGCAGGGGCTCGCTGCCCCCGCGCGGCTGAAGAACTCCCAGCTCCGACACAGGAGGCAGGACGCGACCTCGGACCCCAACGAACTCAGTACTTTCCTACCGGTTAGGGTCCGGTGGCCTCAGCATTTCCCCCAAAGCCTGCTAAGAAGAGAGCGGCCACGAAGAGGGAGATTTGGGTTCACCATCCACCGGCTAGTCGTTAGGAAGGGAGTTGGGGAGTGAGTCCTTGCACTGCAACCGCGCGCTCAGGAATCCTCGTAGCTTTGGCCTTTGGCTCTGGACTACCGAAGAGTGAGCTTTCCCTTGGGAAGTGAAGTGGGTGTGCGTCTCTGCGCACCCGCGTGTGCGCGCAGGACTGGCCGACGCCCGCGCGTCACTCTTTGGGGGTGTTGGGGTAGCAGCCTTCTGGCACCCGCCGCTGCACTCCAAAGAGCACTTCTCTTTTCCGGATGTCTGCGCTCCAGGCTGAAGGATCAGCTCTGAGCCTACAGTCCCGAAGTCACTTTCTTCCAGGAAGTTTTTCCCGCTGGCGTTTGAAGCTGCCCAGTGCTTTAAAAGTAGCTATGTGATCGAAGGAAGGCGTAGCGGAGTATTTGCCTCGGTTTTAGCGGTGGCATCCACACCAGCAGCTTGTCCCAAGGGTCTTCAAGTCCCTGGAGAACCACGTCGGGCCTCTGAGGAACAGCTGGGTGGAAAGTCTCTCTGCTCCTTCGGCTACAAAAACAGCTCCCCGGGTCGCACGAGGAGCCCAAGAAGCAGGCATTTTTAGACTCTAGATTTAACCAATCATATAAATTAGAATTGTTTGTGGGGTCCCTTCCAGAACGACAAATCCCTAGTCAAAGAAAGGTTGCAAAGTATCTTCACCCACCCTTTGCTTTTGGCACGCCCGTAAAGCCAAAATCTTTTTGTGGCCCCTGTACTTCCCCAATGCCTTCTTTTTCGTTAGGCCCTGCATCGACGGACACGACCATTTGGGGTCACCGAGTGAGAATTGGGTACGTTTTATTTTTCTGTCACAGGGTGTCAGATCCTCCCCAGTAAAATCTCCATAGGTGCATTTAGTGTTTCAGCAAACCTTTACCTACAGAAGTAGACCTTATTTTTTTCTTTGGCTCTTCCATATAAAATTATTATTACTTTAGTGTGTGAAGGGCTTTACTGGAATGCAAAACGCTACAGCATCCAAAATCCGAGTTGGAACCAGTCACATTTTTGAGACTCAAGCAGGGTGTGTCTCATGCTCTGATTTTATAGGAGAAGACAAGCATCTAGAGAGGAGACCGGGCCTAGATTACCTAACCAGTAGTCAACACCCAACAGTCACTTTTCCTAACTGCAGAAATCGTTCTAGGCACGTAGGTCTATGCAGGTTGCGTGTGCATTGCCTGCACCTAGCAGGCCAAGTGTGTGAGGCGGAGGAGAAGCTCCTACGGGTGCGCACTCGTGTTGTGGGAGCTCTCCGGTCACAGTCAGATGCGTGCAAACTTAAAGTTTTGACGCATGAAAGCCGCCTTTCAACTGAGAGAAGTGGAAAAGCTTATCAGTTCGCAGAAGAGTCGCGGGTGTGGCCCTTGCCTAGAATGTGAAAGTGCCTGGGTTCAATCCCCAGCACAGGGGTGGGGGTGGGGAAATCTCAGAAAAAGGAGAAAAGACGGAGGGTTTTTGTCTAGGGCGGGTTCTTGGTTGATCACAACTCCAACACTAGACCCCAATGGAAATGGGGCTTGCCTTGGCGTGAGAAGATTTCAATGCAGCTGTCCTTGACCCTTGCCGTGCGGCTTCCGGGTTCTCACCCCTCTTTTGTCGTCCCGACTGTGCTTCCCCTCTCAAGGGGCGCGCAGGGGCACTGGTGCTTGTGTGCGCTCCCTCGCTTTCACTAGGGAGGGGGTTGTTTGGGTGTCAGCATCCCCAGCCTGTTTTCTGAGTTAGGGAGGCTGAAACTGAACAGCAGGATAAAGAGTAAGATCTATCCTTTGGATTCAAGAAATCCCCAAGCGTCGACAGAGTGGTTCACTTGCCCTCTGGCGAGGGTTGTTGCGTGTTACCTGCGCCCACGACTCCATTCAAAGTCTGGCAAACAGCGCCCTCTATGGGGCATTCTCTAAACCAAGCCTGCAGGCTCGTCTGGAGAAACCAGTCCTAGCGCACAACGTTTAAAAGCCTTAAAAGCCTCTGGGCCTTACCCTTCCCTGCCGCGGTTAGTGAACAAAAGCATTTTTGTCTGGATTCGGGGAGAAGCAAAGGGTGAAATAGCCTGCAGGTCTCCGCCGATCCTTACCTGGCCATCACAGGAAGTGGTCTCCTCAGCCTCCCGCCCTCCTCTCGCTTTTCCTTTTTTAGGGCCCGCTCTGTGTTCCAGGAGGCACAGAGGAAAGGGAGTGGACTGCCTTATTCGTCTTTTTAGGATTTGGCGTGCCATCCGCCGACCAGTGGACGCTCAGTAACCCCTATGCGAATGCCTGCATGCCTGAGTGCGGTGGGGGGATGATGGATGCATTCAAAGTTCCCATTACAGAGGATAGGCCCACTTTATTTGGGCCTTCAGATAGCTTGACAATACCCCAAAGGAGTTTTTGAAAAGTTTAAGGAACACCTAGAGTCTTTTGATGACATGTTTTACAAAACCTAAAGGAGCCCCAAGGATAGGACTAGGAGGGTGTTTCATGGGCTGATCCCAGGCAAGAGGGCTGGGGGCAGAGCCCAGTCTCCACGCCACTCCCCCTTGGGAGGAGGGGCCAGGAGGGCAGAGGAGATCTAGAGAACACTAGTGATTAATACACACTTTTACAGGAAGCATGAGGCTTGGCAAAGGAGGACTTAAAATAGTCCCCCCCCCCCCCCACACACACACACTATTCACAAACCACACATAAGCATATGCACACAGAGAAGTCACTAAGTAGAGTGTTCTCTAAGGAAGGGGAGCATTTGCATATTTATACCACTTCCCTAAGAGAGGTTGCTTTCCTCTTCAATCAGAACAGGCTTCCTGAGACAGCCTACCTTACCCATAAAGAGGAGTGGAGACTATTTAGGCTTTTTTTTTCCATGGTGGGGAGGACTGGGGACTCGACCATTCGACCACTGAGCCACATCCTCTACCCTATTTTGTATTTTTTTAAGAGACAGGGTCTCACTGAGTTGCTTAGTCCCTTGTCTTTGCTGAGGCTGGCTTTGAACTCTCCATCCTCCTGCCTCAGCCTCCTGAGCCTCTGGGATTACAGGCATGTGCCATGGCGCCCATCTTATTTAGGCTTTTAACCAAAGCTACAGAGACCCAGACCGCAGGCCCCCACAATTAAAGTAGCCAGAATTTGCCCTGGTCCTGATAGTCACATTTACTCTCTCCATCTCCTGCTTGTGTGACCTTGGTTTGTAGGCAGAATGGATGACAGCCTGGAACTGTGAACCTGGGGAGGCTGTGTCCCTGACCCTCAGTCCTGGAAAGCTCTTGCCCATCTTTTCACAGGCCACCAGGAATGCTGCCCCCAACCCCTTCCTTTGGCTAGTGAATGTGACCCTGAGAAAATACATAGTTCTAGGAGATGAGACACAGTGGTGCTGTCCTTGATTAGGTATGTGTCCTGAGTAGCATACAATGTCCTTAGAGTGGCTGTAAAGGTGATTTCAGCTAACAGTCACCCAGTCCTCATTATATACCAGGCACTATATCTGGTGAAGTAGGTAGAATTATTACTCCCACTGGACAGATGAGGAAACTGAGGCACAGATGGTATAAAAATGGGAGCTGCAGAGTCAACGCTGGCTACTGCTACTATTAATCTTCATGCATTCCCCCTTTATTTACTTATTTATACAGGGGGTTGGATACAGGAGCTCTCTACTACTGAGCTACCTCCCCCTTTTAAATTTTTGTTGTTGTTGTTTTTAATTTTGAGATAGGATCTTGCTAAGTTGCCCAAGCTGACCCCAAACTTGAAATCCTTGTTTCATCTTCCCAAGTAGCTGGGATTACAACTATGTACCACCATGCCTGACATTATTCACTCTTCAAGATGAGCCCACAGGCCAAAAATGTGTTCTTGAAAGTCTTCTCTGAGAAAGCTAACAGGGGCCTGGGGGGACTCCTTACTCTGTCTCTCCTACACCCTCTCTCTTTTCTCTTGTCTTTTTCTAAAGCCTTTCTCTCCAAACCAGAGTCCTAGGTTGCTTTCCATGTTTAGTGTTCTCCTGAGGGGAAAAGAACTGCAAATTTTTGCATTTTGCTCCAACC